CTCATTCACGCAGTGCGTGCCTACCTGCCGCCGCCGAGGGCTGCTGCCTCCCCATGGGACAAATCACGCGCCCGCTGGAAGGGCAATCGCGTGGGGGTTTAAACGCAGGCGTGAGTGAGGGGCGTCCAGAAGGAGCCGGGAGGCTCGGTTCCCAGAGAAAAGGCAGGGCTGTGAGGATATAAAAGTGCTTTCCAGGAGGTATTGTTATTGACGAGAAGTGAGAATTAGAATGATTCATAACCAAGATCTGCTTCACTCTTCGACAAGTCTTTCCCCTTTCACTTGATGAAAGAAATGTAAACAGAAAAAAGGGAGTTTTAGGTAAGTTAGTTTTATTTAGTCCAAAATATTGGGCTAAAGGGGAGAAAACATAGTGAGCTACGATTGGGGGAAATTCTTCCCTAAAGGTGTAGGGGAGATGCTGTTGTTGTGAACTTGGCCAGTTTGAGTCAGTCCCAAGGAAGTTCAGGAAACTATGGGTTTAGCTGGTGTTAATGAAGGAATAAGACTTTTTCTCTCCTCTCTCATTCGGCCATAAATACATAGACAGGAGTGATTTTTAGGGGCAACTGGGCCTTGATTTTAACAGAGGAGAGGGGACACAGGGAGAGAGAAGGAGAGAAAAGGTACAAGTATCTCAGAATGAAAGGCCCCAAGGAGAATGCATGCACTAGAACCATGTTCCATGGATATTAAACTGGACTGTGGCTTTAAAAAAAAGGCTTTGCCAGCAAACATATCCAGGGACAAAGTACCTTTCCTTTGGCCGGCAATATTTTTGGATTTTTGCTTTTTGTGGATGAGGAGGATGCTGATTGTGAAGAAGGCCTTGCTCTTTTCAGTCCCGCCAACCCCAGGTCAGGAGTCGGCAAGGAGAACCCTGGCCCAGGGGCTGGCACTCCAGTGGGAGTGTGTGGCCCCGGGAACAGAACCTCTTGGTACAGCGGCGCCGCTAGACCTACGGCGCAGCCAGACACCTGCTCAGTCCGTGTGTGTTTCAAGCCTGACTGAGGGAGGCCTGTCCTGGGTCATTCCCCTTTAAGGCCCTTGAAAAGTGATTTTCTTCCTGGTCTCTGCCCACCTGGTCTAGCTGGGTGCCCACCTGGGTCCCACGAGCACCATGGGTTGGCCTCGTGGACCAGCCACAACTGTTCACCCTGTTGATGCAGCTTCGTGGACCATCAATCACGTGGATGCAACAGGCCAAGTTGTGATGGCTGCGTGGTTTTAACCACTACCCTCTATTATCTCCTGCTTTCCCTTCCTTGAACAAAAGGCGGCTGATTGAGCTGAGTGCCACTCGGGGATTTAAAGTAGCACGGAACACACCAAACTGTCAGGTGTTACTCACAGAGTTTTCTTTTGAGAACTAAATAATAATGCTTATGTGAGAACGATGGTATCTGGGCATTCACTGGCATTCTAATAAACTTCTTATCGCCTTTAATAAGCACAGTCCGGCCCAGTCATAACTGTCAAGATAGAAAGCCAGCTAGATAACTCTGAAGCTTTACATGATAGTAAATGTTGTTATTCAAATAGATGTACGTGCCTCGAATTGAAATGAGAGCCACCATAGCTGCCTGCACCCTCCTCTAATCTGCGCTGCAGCAAACTCACCCTGTGCCGTAGCAAGAGCGAGCTTAGCAAACAGAGCTCGAACGGATGAAGGTAACTGTCTGGTTCCCCTAAATTAAATCCATTAAGAGTGCATAAAAGTGAATCACTGTACATCTTTATTTGTCTCCATTGTTTAAATTCTATGAAATAGGACAAAAAAACCACTGTGGTTTAAATCTTCCATCAGTGCAACCTGCCCACAGGAAAGCTGTCCACACTTAGTCACGTAATTGAAGGCATCTCTCGGTTTGTGAGCGGTTTGGTAACCAGGGATCGTGAAGGAGTAAGCGCTGTGTTTGGCGTTTAATGCATTTAGCATGATGGCACCCTGCGTGCGGGGACTCTCGATAAATACAGGCAGCGATTGCCTCTGTCAGCCCCCAGCATGGCTGCAGCTCGGTGGTCCAGACCCCAGTAGTGCAGGGTTTCAAAAGAGATGGGACCTTTCCCTCCTGTAATAATTTTCTTGGATGTGAAGAGCATGTTATCGAGGATTAGGTTATGAAATGCCTTCTTTTGATGACAGGAAGCACACTTTAGTCGTGGAAGGCAATCTGCTTTCTGCCCGATTGTGTTCTGTGAGCTGCAGAGAGCCCAGCGCTTGGGCAGAGTCTCCGCAGCCAGCAGAGCTACTCTGTTTACACGGCTGATGCGTCACCCCCGAGGCACTGGGTCACGGATCCAGGCACAGGCCTGCTCTGGTTAGCTGACGACGATGCCAGCGGCGCGTCATGATGGACTAGGCGTCCCCTCTGCTTGCAAGTAGCATTGCACTCGGGGCTGTCTGCCGTGCAGGGAGTGACGAGCCCCAGCACACACGCAGCTCCACTACCTCCCCACGGACCTAAGATGCCACGGTGCCTCCGTGACATCTGATAGGTCACCATGGGTTTTCTCATCAGCTGGCCCACTCTTCGTCTTATCTGACCCTGGGTACTTATTACCCACAATGTACAGATAAGGAAGTGGGACAAACAGCTGTTAAATTGTGACTATAAGCACAAATATGCAGAGGCCCTTATAATAGAAAGCAGCAGACTTTCCAGCCCCACCTTTGCCTTCCGATGTTAACATCTGTACCTTCACTTTTATGTTGACCAGGCTGTCCGTCTTGGGTATGTGGTTGCATAACCCTACCTCAAACCCCTGTCCTTTTCTCAACGGTGCGAGTGTAAGGTCGAACATCAAGTGGCTGTCCCATCACGTGACCTCGGTGACCTCTGAAAGCCCGCCCACATGTACACGCGCACAGCAAAAGGACCTTCTTCCCCATGGCAGATGGATGGATGGTCAGGAGCCCCCAGCCCTGCTGTGTCGCTGGGGGATCATGTCCTTATTGATTAATTGTATGTCACTTGGTCGTGGGTCCCCAAGACTGTTTCACATGTCCAGGTTGCTGATCACTGGGTGGACATAGGACTCGGTGGACAGTCAGACACTCAGGAAAGGGGACCCCTTGGCAGAGGGAAGAGCGCTGGTGTGAAGCCGGAGGAAACCAGAGACAAGCTGCCAAGTGTCCTCTCCCACCAGCTCACACAGGACGCGCCTGCCCCCCCAGAACCCAGACAGCCCAGCGATTTTACTGAGGCCTCTCATCATGCGCCTGAGTTCACACTCACACTTTCAGGCATGGTGGGGAGGAGGGAGTTCAGCGTAAACCCCGCTGTCTGCACACACATTTTAGATGCTGCAAACCCTCGGAATCAGTGAGAGAATGGGGTGGGAGGACTCCCCACGTCCAGATTACCAGAGGGCAGCCCAGGGCCAAGCTTGGAAGCAGCCTCTCGTAAGAGTCCAGGCTGGCTTTGTGGCCCTTTTTCTGTCCTCTCTTATTCCTTCTTGTTCAAACTGTGGCTTCCGATGCAGTGGCCTGTGAACTCATGATGTATCTCCTTGTGAGGTTTGCTTTATACAGTCTCTACAGAAGCTCGGCTTCAGGTCTTGAAGGGAGCTGCCCGGTCTCCCAGGTTGTGTCTGCGGCCCCTGGTTTTCTTCAAAGCAGCACATGTGTGCTTTGTGGTGATGAAGGAGGGAGGGAGGCCAGCAAGCCTCTTGCAGACCCCGAGAGGGGCTGGGACCCTCAGGTGCCTTCCATGGTCTCGCTGGTTTCAGTGGCAGGGTGTCCGGGCGGCTACTTGGTCTGTGTCCTGGAGTGGGTGGTCCTAGTGCCGACTGGTGGTGATGGATTTCGCCCTAACTTAGACCTCTAGGGTGGCCCCCATGTCCCGTGTAGTCAGTCACCACAGCCCCACCCCTGTCCTAACCTTCCTCAGCCGCCTGCTTGGGCACTGGCTCTCACAACGCCCTTTTCTCCTTCCTTTCCTACCAACTGGCAGAGACGGCACCCAGGTCTGCCCAGGTGTCACCCCCACCCAGACAGAGCTGCGGGGAGGCCGAGGCGGCCCCTCCCCTCCCTCAGGCTGGCGGACATGCTTCTGAACTCTGAGACCTGCCGGGCGCACAGCAGCCTCTGCAAATCTGCGCATTCGCATCCAAGAATGCTTTGCACCGCCCTCCTGCCTTAGTCGGTGATTAGGTTAGAGAGACAGTTGTAGGGTGGGAGCCTTTCCCTCCAGGCTTTGAGGCTATCAGTAGTACTTTAAAATTCTGGTTTGATTTTCATTTCCAGTAGATGACCCAACATCTCTTTCTCTTTCTCTCTCTCTCTCTCTCAGGTTTTATGATCTCCTTTTTTTGGAAAATTAAACTTGATGGAAATGTAACTTTTTCTGCGTTTGCTGCCCCAGGTCCCTCGCTGCCCTCTCTCCTGCTGCCCCTTTCTGTTTGTTTTGAGAGCCCGCCCCTTGTGGTCCTCGGGGGCACAGGGCCCTCCTCTGCTGGAGCATTTCCGGAAAAGCAGGAGACTCCTCCCCGCCAGTGCTCCGCCTTCTTGATGGCTCCACGGTCCGCTGGTTCCTGACCACACTTCCGTGGAACCAGGGAGAGGGGAGCACTGGGTCTGCTCAGCTGGGCCCCCCATGACTGGTGGTCCCCCGCCCCCACTGCAGGGCTGCCCCGAACAGTCCTTCTGGGTGTGATGTACGTGTGTTTTCATTTAAAAGTTGTCCACTGAAGTCACAGTGAATTTAGGAAAGTTAAGTGAAGTTTTCAAGCAACTACATTGAACTGTATTGGAGATTACCACATGTCATCGAGCTTCCTGTTTGGAGCAATGTGCCAAACATCACTTATGAAAATGGACCTGACCTACTGGGCCCCCGAAGGGCCTCGAGGACTGTGGCCCGTGCCCTGGGAGTCACGGGGGGACATGGTCATGTTGTGGTCACTTTGTGAGGAGAGAGGGGTAGAGCCTGTCTCAGGGGGAACATTTATATTGCAGTATAAGCACCAAGAATTTGTCTGTTTGCTTTTTCTCCAAGGGCCCATCCTGCTGGGACGATGTCTTAATCCCCAACCGGATGAGGGGCGAGTGCCAGTCTCCGGGCTGCCCGGGAACGAGAGCCGTAAGTACTGGGTCCCATCCCTCCTTTCACTGGTGGCCTTCAATGCTCACTAGGAAATTACAATTTCACTAGGAAAATGCTAATGACTTTTCTTCCCTCTGATGACATTTCCGGAAAACGTTTGTAATAGTCACCAAAGACTCTCCCTGTGGCATCGCCTGCCAGTGTTGCTTTCCTAGGGACGTAGCCTCTTTGGGCGACTTTGGTAAATTGTGGCCACTTGAACTTTGCACACAGTGGTATTTGGGCAACGTACAGAAGACCAGCTCAGAGCCTGGTCGCAGGCTCTGAGAGTCGCAGACTCTCAGTGTTGACGTTTTTCCTGACGCTGCGAGATTCGCTTTCTGCAGCCACATTCAGACATGGGTGGGTTCTTTGTGGTCCCTTTTCTTTATCAAACAGGTGCCCTGTGTTTCATACCAGCAAATGTTGCTTAAAAGAGGCCCTGAGCACTGGTGTTATTTAAAGGTGTTATCATTGTGGTCGTGCCCATGATTTGTATGTTGTTAGACCGTTCACCTCAGAAGTCTCTGGTCCATCACCACCAGAGTGCATATATTTCCTGGGTGGTAAATACCATTTTGGTGCCAACACAAATGTCATTATTAGTTCACAAACTGTCACCGCCAGCTGGCAGCTAATATCTCTTCTAAGGGACAGAGTCTGTTAACAGCAGCAGGTGTGGTCCAAGCAGGGGGACAGAGTGTGTGTGTGTGTGTCAGCCACGCCCCTCTGCAGGGTGGCTCCCCAGGTGGCATCTCGCAGTGGCAACGGCCATTCTCCCTGGCCTGGGGCAAAGGACCAGGAGCAGGTTTCTGTTCATGCACATCCTGAAGGAAAATAGTGAGTTGTGTGTCACTCACAGAAACCGTACATTGCACAGTCCTGGAGTTTTGCTTCTAGGGTGAAATTAAAGCGCATGTATTTTACAGGGGAATTCTTAGGTATAAGTATGTCCATGCTTGCAAGTGTATGTGTATGTAGGACACATACTATGGGGATAGAATTACCTTAATAACAATGGTGATAGGTCTGTACCCTCCGGTGCATGTCACGTACCACGTGGTCTCCACGTCACCCATCACGTGCTCTCCACGTTACCCTTACAGTCCCATGAGGCGCTTTAAGAATCCCCTCCAGTCACAGCCAGTCTGCCCGCCTCTCCTGTGCCTCGGTGTTAACTGGCAGGATGCGGCTGCGGAGGAATCCGCGGTTCTGCGTCTGGAGAGTGTAGCTTCGTACCCATCGGGGGAAGCCGTGTTGAGTGGAGTTGAAGGTCATGGCTGTTGCTTGTTGCATATTCAGCTCACCTTCAATGTCAATGGGCAGGATTCCACATAAATCCGCTACAGTGCGGCTCGATGAGCTGACACCCTCACAAACCCTCACGGTGCACCCGTGTGCAAATCTGGGCTAAATCACAAACACGTCTTTGTAAAAGAATGGCTGTGCTGACAGTGTAGTAAAATACCTTGTACACTGGAACTTCAGAGAAGCCAGACTTCAGAGAGGAATTGCGTGGACTGCAGCCACTGACCCCTGGGCCCTGCCCACCCACGCCCCGCCCCCTGAAGTTGGCTGCCAACCCTTTCTGGTTCCAGCCCACCCCACAGGACACCACACAGCCTTGGAACCGCGCACACGTGGCTCTGTCGCTGTCGCCACGCTGAGGGCACTCTACTGCACGGACCAGGGTCACAGCTGGGCAGTCCTCCTTCCAAGGGCGGCTCTCCTCCACCGTCAAGGGTGAACACATTTCTCCTGCACAGGGCCACGGGGCTGCTGAGGGTCCCCACCCTCCATGACGTAAACTAGTCCCCCCAACGTTGGCCACCCTCCCAAATCCCCCGCAGTGTGGCCAGGGACACACAGGAGCTGCAGGAGAGGTGTTCCCACATTATCCGCTCCTGGGTCCTTTCTGCAGGGGGGCTTCCCAATCCTGAAGGAGGCCGGAGCTCTGAGTCCAGACCCGCCCCTGCACTGCCCTCATCCGCAGTTTTTCTGGTAAGAAAGGAGGGCTACGAGTCTTCAGAGGCCTTTGTGACGGAACACCACGAATGGGTGGGTCCAAGGCTGGCCCTCCTGGGCTCCCACCTACTCCTTGGTGTCCGGCACCCACGCCTCCTCACCACGCCCACTGGGTGACCGCGTGGGGTTGCAGGCCTCGAAGCCCCGGCAGGGTGGGAGTGTGCAGTTGCCCGGTGCACAGCAGGGTGGGGGCCCTTCTCACTGAGCCCCTCTTCTTGCAGCGCAGGCTGGAACCACACCCCAAAGGTCACGGGTCCTCCTACCAGCTTTGTCATGGGAACCTTGGCGGCAGGAGGTGGGGGCGTTTCTCAGAAGCTGTGTCCCGTGACCGCCTGGGACACAGTCCACAGCCCTGGGATCTGTTCAGTGTAGCTGTTGTCAACATTCAGTCCTTTTCATCCAAGATGCATTTGAATGCCTAGAATGACCCTCCAAGGGACTGAAATGAAAACAGTTGTTAAATTTTCTTTAAAAGGGAAGAGAGTGACTATACCAAAGTGGGGCAAATAGCACGCTAAAAAAGGACAGAAATCAAACCCAACGTAACAGTGATGTGCTGACTCGTAAATACACTAACCGAAGCCTTAAAACGGATCCTTAGACTGAATTAGAAGAGACCAGAACCAGCAGCAAGTAGAGGACGGGAAATGGCACACCAGGCCGTGTCGCCCAAAAGAGCCATCGGAGCCACTACGGGACACATAAAATCGGTTTTTAGGGGCGGAGAAAGCTTGGTAAATAAAAGGCATCTCTCTGGTTTAAAAAAAAAAAAAAAGAAAAGATCTAATTACCCAGAAATCTATACCAGGTCAGAACACCGTATGATGTTACCAACATGGACTTAAAAATACATTAAAGACAAATGTCAGAATTAACAACTGTATGGCCAAGTCCCCGGCCATGGAGGGGGCCGGTCACCTAACTAACCTGCGGAGGTGCTGAGGGCCCCTCGAACGCAGGGAGGACGAGCAGGTTAAAGCTGGTGGGGAGGACGGGACACCACTGTGAGTGCCGCCCCGGTACCAGGACACCCCGTTGTCTCATGGGCAGCATCACAGCCCTCGAACACGTTTAGGGCTTTAAGGCACTTAATTACCACTAACCGAAACAGAACCGTGAAAAGCCTCTTAAACGTGGAAGTTCTGTTCACTTAATAAAAAAATATCCAATGCAAAAATGGGATGGGACAGTATTGAAAATTTACCGCCTATCAAATCTTTTGGGATGTATCTGAATTAGGATCGAAAGGGAGTGGTTAGTATGTTCATAAATGCTTATTTTTTTTAAAGAGAGAAGAGAGAAAAATGATCATATTCAACTATACTTTTTCTCCCACGGCTGGTGAACACCACGTGGCTGTGGGTTCAGTAGAGGAACCGAGGTGCACGCCCCCTGCAGGGCTGCGGCCGCCACTGCAGGGGTCTCAGAACAGCTTCCCAGGTCGCGCTTTCACCACGGAGCTAAGCACTGACCACATCTCCTCTGTTTTCTGCAGAGTGATGTGTGGGGTCTGTTTCAACAGAGGCGAAAAGACAGGCGTTTTTAGGGAGTTTATCACACTCGAGTTTGCAGGGTAATTTGAATTTGGGGCAGTATTTTGTACTCTATATAGTATGTTCTCATAAAAAAGTTTAATTTCTATCACTTGTATAAAATACCCATATACTTAAAATTAAAAGGAGTTAGGCTTCTAATATATTCTTAATTAATATTTATGCACATAAAGGTAATCTAAATAGCTCATTTGAAATAGCAGTAATTTCAACCTTTGTTTTTTAGAGTACTAATATAAACTTGACCTTTACACAGAGAAATCCGAACCTAATTTAATCTTTCACTAATTGGTGTCATGGTGGGAAGGAACATAGCATTAGTTCTGAAAGGCCTTCTACTTTAAAAAAAGAATTCCCTAGTCAATTCAAAGAGCATGTGCTTGAGATTAAAAGAAGGGAAAAATCAATTAGGATTTTCTCCATTAGTGAAGTTAAACTTGGGATATGACGCACGACTTTGTATTTTCTGCGTAAATCCTCACTTTATATTTGACCTACAATGCCCTAACCAGTGAAGATCTGTGTGTTTGTACATGGGCTGGGGGGGTGTTTTCTTTTATCTGTGCGCACACAGGCCGAGGCAAACCCAGGCATCCTGTTCTGTAGGCCAGGGATGTCCAACCTCGTGGGTCTCCAGGCCACACTGGAAGAAGGAGAGTTGTCTTAAGCCACACATTAAACACACTGCGACATGTAATCACAAAAAAAATCTCGTGAGTAAATTTCCTCGTAAGTAAACGTCCGAGTTTGTGTCAGGCCACATTCACGGCCATCCCGGGCTACACGGGGCACGCAGGCCCCACGGTGGACGCTCCTGCACCGAGCTCCGCGTCCTAACTGCCGAGGGCAAATGTCCCCTGGCCGTCCGCACCCCCTGCCTTTCCCTGACACCTGGCAGTGGGCAGTAGAGTCAAGGGTAGAGAGATAGTTTCTTGTAGGAGAAAGAAAAGAGAATGTTGAGTCGTGCCTGTTGTAGTCTGTGCTGCTGTAACAAAATAACTGGGTGCTCACGAGCAGCAAGCAGTTACGCCTCCAAGGCTGGAGGCTGGGAGGGTCGAGCTCAGGCACCCTCTGCTCACAGACTGGGGGGAGCCCACTGCTGGGTCACAGAGCCCCCTCCACAGCCCCCTGGGTGGAGCAGAACAGCGCTCTCTGGGCCCCTTTTATGAGGACGGGGGTTTCATTTCCAAGGACTCTCGTATCTCCCATCAAATCACATTCGCAAAGCTGCACACCCAGATACCTTCACAAGGGAGTTAGGTTTGGACACGTGACCTCGGTGGGGGGGACACAGGCATCCAGACCACAGCACCCTTCAAAGTAATGAATGATCAAGGTCATTACTTTTATACTTGTCGAGGGGTGGCGGTTTTACAACTAAACAGCCTGTAACGTACATTATACTTTACGTTTTTGAGG